CTGATGTAGACGTGCTGCGGCTTTTGCACCCCCATGTGCGAGACCTTCGTATCAGGTTTGAGCCCGGAGAGCACAAGTATTTTGTGGACGGCAAGAGGATGAAATACTCGGTCACGGGCCTGATCCACCAATTCTGTGCGCCCTTCAACGCTGACGCGGTAATTGGTGCTATGATGAGGGGGCAGAATTGGCCGCGGCCAGGATATCTGCAGCCGGACATTCCTCTTTATGCTTTGGCTAGACTGCGCCTTCTAGTACCTGAGCTCCTTCCGCTCCTTGCGGACAGTCCCCGGCATGAGCCACGCATATGCGCTTTGCTTCGAGCGCTCCCACGCGGCGATAACGTGGAAGATGATGTTGCCCGCTTAGCATTATCGCCTGAGCAAATAAAGGCTAAATGGGCAGCTAATGCTCAAGAAGCGGCCGGTTACGGCACGTACATGCACCACTTATTCGAGGCATACCTCAATGGGCAGGATGTGCCAAGCTGCTCTCCAGAGTTCCACATGCTGCGTGAGTTCCTGGCGACTTTGCGCACATCAGCCAAGGCTTGGCGCACAGAGTGGGTTATCTTTGGTGAGGGTGAAAACCTGGCAGGCTCCGTCGACTTCTGCGCCAGAAAGGATGACGGATCGCTGGTAGTAGTGGATTGGAAACGCAGCGCAGGCCTCCCCAACAAGTGCACTTCGAACAGTAGAATGCTGGCCCCGCTTCGTCATCTGCCTGACTGCACGGTGATGCAGTACCAGCTGCAGCTGAATGCGTACAGATACTTGCTGGAGAAGTATTACAACATGAAAGTCTCCGAAATGTACATTGTCTGTTGTCACCCAGAGCATGGCACCCGCCCTTGGGTATGCTCCGTGCCCAGGCTTGAGGAAGAGACAGAGCTCATGATGGCTCACTCGCGTGACGTTCAAGGTGGCGCAGTTGCACCTCGGACAGAAAGTAAACGCTGGGCAGTGCGTCAATCTCTCCTTCAGCGGCACGCAGATCTCCTGCTTCGGTTTCCATGCGTGGCGTCGCTATGCCCGATACCGACCGACCATCGTCTGTCCAGCAAACGAAGCTGGGAGCGAGCCATGCGCAATGCTCGAGTCACACTTGCTCTACTCGAGCAAGAGTCCTACTACATACTCTACATGTTTCTTCACACACAATACACGACGATTTCCTTGTCTCATCCAATGGTGAACTTCAACGCGGTCCAATGGGTGCCGGAGGCAGTTGCTGCGGTTCTGGCACACGAAAGCCAGACACCACGAAAAGCTTGCAAACACCAGCCTGAAGACTTGCAGGGTGGATCGCTGACTCTGTCAGATGAGCTGTTTCGCTGCATTGTCATCAGCTCTGCCAGCACTGGTCAGCTGTACCAGCTTCAGACTTGCTGCCGTAGATTTCGAGAACTGGTTTTCCAGAGACAGTCGTGGAGAGATCTTTGCATACATCTGGACAATTTTGCCAGAGAGAGTGACGAAGATTTTGCTCGCGCGATCAGGCTCCTGCCTGTGTGGCAGGATGCCAAGCAAGTTCTTGTGTCGTATCGGCTTCTCGGTCGGATGCCTCTGTCAGCGCTGCCGTCAAATCTCAGGATGATGTGGTCTCTGCGTGCTGCGGAGCCTGTCACGATCTTCAACTACACATGTTTCGCCTGGGAATCAGTGGAAAACCTGTTTGGCTCAGCCCACTTTGCTCTTAGATGCACGGACCCAGGCGCTACTGTCATCGTTGGTGTGAAGAAACGAGACGACGTGCAACCGTGGCCGATAGCAAGCCAGCCTCGATCGGTCTTCCTCCGGCTTCAAAAGCCATTCGACAGGGACATGCGTGCTAGCTTTGGCAGAAGCAACGACTTTTACTTGGATGTGCCAGGGGTCTGCGGCCCTTTTCCAGGACGGAATGCTGAACATGATTTTGCTGTACGGCGGGTGGGGCGGGAGCTGCAGATAACTATTGACGGTGTGCTGCTCCCAATCTTGCGGCTGCGCCCCGATGTTGTCGAGAGCCTTGGTGCTCACACGAAGGTCTTCGTCAGATGCTTCGCCTCTTCAGCAGCAACACAGGCTAGCTTCTCCGTGCGGCCGTTTCCCTGCAGGCTGCAATCAAATTCATGCGTCAGTTGCTTCCGATGTCAGGCGCTGTCTACTGTTGACGCCAGCCACGTGAAACCTTGCGCTCATTGTTTTGAATGGTTCTGCGCGTTGCATCGGGATCAGGTTGGTGACCGAGAGATTTGCCACGCTTGTGCAGATGTCTGGGCAGATGCTGTCGGAGGTTCCTCAAACGCTGCAGCTCTCGTGGTCGATTCTCAGGTCTCGCAAGACAGCTTTAGCGCACGGGCCGAGAAATTGGGGAGTTGAGCAAGATCTACAGGAACAGCTTGCAGCTCAGGATGAGATCTCCCGACAATTGAAGAGCGAATGTATCGAAGAAGCTGCTGCTGATGTTGATCTTGAGCACCAAGACGATGGTGCCTGGGCAGCCTTGAAGAGAAGGCGCTTGCTGCCTGGCGCTGCCACATCGGACGCTGATTTCCACCGCTTGTTCACCAGTTTGGACAAGCACGTAGCTGATCTTGTGCGCGAGGCATCCGACGTGTCGGAAGACCCGAACAGCATTCCCCAGCTGGTGTCGCGGCACAGGATGCGTATTGCGCGGGTCTATCCAGACATGTCTGAGTACATGTTGAAGCTCATGACAGCCGCAGCGGCCGTGCTTAGTTTGCGCACAGTGGACGTCTTCCAGCGCGAGAACGCGATGATGCTGTGGATCATCGACGGAGAGTCGCACATGCGCTTTCACCACGGCGACTGCTACCTTTTGCACCAGAGCGGCGCCTTTCAACAGTACAAAGGTCTTCCTCTCGACTGCAGCCGCGTCCACTGTTTTCTTCTGCATCTAGAAGGCCGGACATGGGCTCCAGAACATGGACGTTGCAGTGCTGTGTGCTGCAGTGCTCGGAGGTTCAGGGGTACATATAACCCCCTCAATTAATAAGTCTGAAACCTTGCGCAAAAGTAAGTGGGGTTCGAGGCGATTACCCTGAACCTCTAAGTCCTGTAGCGTGCTTTGTGACGCCATGACTGCCGACAATAGAGAGCCGAAGCCGAAGCCTTTAATCGTTCGACTTGGCAGGATTGTTCCGACAGCTTCCACAGGGAACCCGCCGCACAGAGCAAGAAGTACTCCAAGCGGTGGCAACATTGCTAGCGAGCGCAGACAGCGAGCAGGACTTCTTAGATTCCTGCCGTTGCTCTGCCGCGAGCAATACAGGAGACCATTTACTCAAAAGCAGGAAGTCGCATGTCGCGCTGCCAGCAGACGATGGCGATGGTGCACTTGAGGGGGAAGGAGAAGCGCACATCAACAACTGGAACATTCATTGCGCTCGCATGATTATTGCATTCAAGCGCAACATCATACGGGACCTGGCAGATGAGAAACTCATCTCATACATGATCGAGTTTTGCGAGCAGCCAATGGTGCAAGAGCGCGGATGCTGCTACACTGACTACGCTGTCACATACCCGGAGTCAAGCCCTGCGCAGCAGGTGCTTCTGCTGCAAATGCGAAGGCAGTTACCTAATGACAGCTGCCTTGCGCTCGTTCTGTTCTGAGCATCTTGTGTTCGCGTTTGTATGTTTGTGTGTTGAGTGTGGGCGCTTTCGAGGTACGCCGGGAGGCTGCGAAGAACATATATGTCCACATACCCCACAGCATCCAGGTCAAGGCTCCGGATCCTGTGATGCAGCGTCTGGTGAAGTTTTATCGGCAGACCTTCTGGAGCAATGTGGCGGCTTTCAAGTGCTGCCAAGCTGCTCAGGCATCCGGGTTGCATGTCCGACGTCGTTGTTAATCCCTGCCAAAGTCTGAGCGCAGAATGAGCAGCTGAGGCGCTTGCGAAGAGAGGTCTCAATGTTGCGCGCCTCTTCATAGGTTTATCATCTGGCGGCGTCGGTCAGTCTCTGTATTCAGCTCATTTGGAGGAGCGCCGGGGCAAGTTACCAACAGCGAGGAATGCAGACATGAGCTGGTGTGCCCATGTTGAAAAGGAGATGTACGGCCACAATTTCGCGTACTTTGACCCGAACATTTGGTACCATGAGGACGAAATGCGAAAGCAGATTGAACAGCTTAGTGGTAAATTCATCCTGACAGGCTGGGCAGACATGCGTTGCAAGAAACAAGCTGCTTGCTAGGTGTTTCTGTGCGCTGCAATGTGTGTGTGTGCTATAGAGGTCAAGAAGCCCCCGGCACCAATCGACGTCTACGGGACGATTTGTTTAAGAAGTTCTTGTCCGGCGAAGGCAGCGCTATGATTGATGCGTCGAAAAAATCACAAGCCTAGCAGCCAAACAAGTGTACTGTCTTGCAGCCTCCAGTTGCGCAGGCATCTCCGGCCGAAAGCCGTACGGACTTCGAACACGCATGATCCAGTGCATAGGCTGGAAACGGCTCGAAGCAAACCGTTTCTTTGTCTTTGCCAATGTCACGAAGCGGGAGTTCAACGCCATAATGCGGCGGGCCTTCGTCTTCAGGATCAGAGCACGTTTTGAGGACGAAAGAGCAATCGAAAGCACCTTTGCCTGCAAGTCAGCATACTGGAAGTTGAGTAACAATATGTTCGCCTGCCAGGAGGGTGGGCAGGCTGCTGTATATTTGAAAGTCCTGACAGAACAATGAGGTGCTTACGAAGATATCGACAAAGACGGGATCTTCGCCAAAGATCAAGATCTCAAGCTTTTCTTGACATCTCCCATGGCAACACGCGCTGCTTTGCAGCTTCAGCATGCGTTCGAAGCTCAACACAATCAACAGGACACGCGTGGCAGATGTAGATCTCTGTCGATGTAATGTTCAATACTGCTTGCGGCAGACTTGGCTTGTTGCAGGACTGTTCTCAGATGATCGAAGACTACGTTCAGTGGGGCGGAGATCAGGGTCTGACTGAAAAAACAATGCGTCAGGCCTGCGGATTGCCTCAGCGTGACGTGAGAGACATGTCCAGCCGTGCGCAAGCAATAATCAACGTTGATGATGATGATGAGAACGACGGCGCGGGCCAAGACCCGCAAAAAGAGTGGGACTTGCTACGCAAGTTTCTTGTGAGCCATCTGCTGGGCGTGGGCAGATCAGACATCACGAGAAGCATGCTTGTGCGTGTCAAACTTCCTGCTGGGCCGAACTTGACAAAAGAGAATGTAGTCCAGGAGCTTGTGAATAACAAGATCCTGGCAGAAACGACTGGCCGAGGCAAGACTGCCGAAGTTTACAGGCCTCTGCTGGAATGCGCCAATCTTCAGTCGGTGCTCAAGCTCGAAAAGACGCATGTGCAAATGTTTTTTCCCGAAACCCTTCAGATCCGAGACTTTGCAGAGTATGTGCAGGGCTGCCCCGTCCGCCGGGAGAACGCTTTGGTGCTGGGCAAGTTTTTTGGCGCGGCCAAGAGTCCACCACTGCGGGGCCGACCCTCAAAGACTGACGTCGACTGCTTCGACAAGAGCGACGCACGTCACGAGCGCGGGAGAAAGCTACTGGAGCAGGAAACTTTGTTCAGCGAAATCCTTGTAGAGGTGACTAAGGCATCAGGCAGCGCCCCTACCGCATCGAGTCAAGATGCTCAACCAGCCAAGCGTCGGCGAGCGAAATCAAAGGAGCTTCAGAAGGTGAAGGAAGAGTCGGTCGATGTGAAGCCATGCACTCAAGACATAAACGTGGCAAGTGTTCCGGAAACGGCGCACGTTCATCGAGCTTACGTGTACTCAGATGAGGTGCCATTTCGATCGCGCAGGACAGTGAGGGGGGCCGGCATGCAAAAGTTTTGCAGACGCGCTGTCTTGCGCTTGGCCTCGGGAACAGTGGATCTTGATGTGGAGAACTCGGTTTTCACGCTGATGTACCAACTTATCAAGAAGCTAGCTATCCGTCCACCTCCTCCAGACAACGTTCTCGAGACTCTCCGCCAGTGTGCCGAAGAACGAAGTCGTGTGTGTCAAGATATACTGAAGACCTCCAAGGCCAGGACCAGCCTGCATGCGTGTCCGTTGGCGCTGCCTTTTTTGTTTAGTTCAGCATGTACAGATGCGCTTGATGGAGTCATTCGCAAGAACTGAGGCGGATGGGAAGGACAAGCTCATCAAAGTCTTCAATGGAGGAGGAATTCCTTCATCTGAAGGAGTCGCCAAAAGCTTCTTGGAGGATGTGTCCAAAGTCTCAATTTACTGCCGATGGCTTGCTGCATCTTGCTTTCCGGACGAGCACGCGAAATTTAAGCAAGAGGGTAAGAAGAAAAACGCAGATTCTTCTCTTCTCTCTTACTTTTACCACGCCGTGGAAGATTCTGTGCTGTCAGCAATTGCCGACTATCTCCTGGCTCAGAACCCAAAGCATCTATCCCTGCATTATGACGGCGTCCGTGTTACTCGGCCCGAAGCCGGCACAACGGAAGAACTGTGTGACAAGTTGCAAGAGCAGGTGCAGCAGGCAACTGGATTTCGAGTAGTTCTGCGGGAGAAGCTTCATCGCACGGTGTTGGAGATCATGTCTGAAGCAGGAAATTGTAAGGAGGCATCTGTGCTGGCACCAGACTCCATCTTGCGTGCAAGTGGCAACTGCATTCCAGCTGCAGTGAGTCTGTTGCTACAGCGTGTGTCAGACGTGGAGCGTGCTGTCGTTGCTGATGGCAACTGTTCCCGGGGCCAAGTCGTCGATCCTGGGGCACCAACAGGCCCGACGACGCGGTCATACAGGGAATGCGAAAAGCTTTTGGCCATGAAGTTCCTCCCGTGCTTTCCTGAGCAAGATTCAGCCTCAACACAATGGCAGCCGGGGAATTTTGTGTTGCACATGGAGAACGGCGGTCAGCCCCACTGCGTGGGACTTCATGTTGCCAATGATCTGGCAGTCAAAGTACTGGACGCAAGCAACACTTTTCAGATCGAAGCTTCAATCCTGGATCAAGCAATGCAGGACGGATGCGACAGTCACACTTGCGTTCTTTTCAGTATCGCACGCGCCGCAGAGCAGATCACACCCCACGCTTGCTGGGAGCCTCAGGCACTGGAAGCTCTGTTGGACCTGGAAGCTGGTGCTTCCGAAGCCATCGAGGTTCTATCTGACGATGAATGTCCAGAGAGTGTCGCAAGCAGCGTGTCCGATACTGAGTGGGTTGATGGCGAGCTGTGCTTGGATGAAGATGCCCAGGTGCTCACGGACAGCAATCTTCTTGAGGGCATGAAGCAAGAGGTGGCCAAAGTGCTAGCCAATAAAGGCGAACAGTGCTTTGAGCAAACAAGGCAAGGACTCAGGTGTCCCTTCTGCCCCTGGCGATGCTTCAGAAGGTCACGATGCGTTGCGCAGCATGTTCATAGGCGCCACACAAGCAAGAAACAATACTGCTGTTCGGGCACTAAGCAGTTGAAACTAATTCTGGCGTTGCACGACACCGATGTCATAGCCGGGTTTCCGAAGCGGGACTACCTTCGAAAGAGCGCTGAGCTCCTGCGGCAGCTGCTTCTCTGCAACATCGATACAGTAGTGTACCACACAACTCGTGCGCGTTTTTTGTTTGTTGCGAGTCTGCAAGGCAAGTGACGCCAGCTCTCAGTCACAAGAACAACGCCATCGACAGACACCTACGTCTTATCTTCTCTGCTACAGGACAGGCTGACAACGGTTTGCTAGGCACTCCAATAGTTTGACAGGTGCATTGCTGTTTGCCAAGGACCTTTCTATGCTCGAGCAGATGCGGTGTTCTCCTTGAAAGCCCGAAGAGCAGGTGATCTCCATTTCACGCACTGCTTTGCCGAGAAGCTTTTTCGCGAAATGTTGTTCAATTCGGGGAAGGCATGCGCTGCAAGTGATCGCGTGAGTTTGGCAGCGTTGTAGAACCTGAGATGTGAGAATCTTATATCTATTGAAAATCATACTCCTCCGGGCAGGTGCACACTGCATGGACTCGAATGGTGCTGGATGCTTCAGTGGCTGGGTCCAAGCTGACCAACCTCTTTCCCGTGCACAGCAGGTCCTGGTGGCCTATGGTGGAAGACATTTTCAGCTCCAGAGTTTGCCAAAGGCTTGCGCAGCAACTCCTGCTTGAATGCGTGAAGCACAACGAGTTCACTTACCTTTCCGTCGATGGTACTGTGAAGTGCACTATGCCGCTTCTCGGCCAGAAGAAGCCTGGTGGAAAGCAAAGGAAGTCTGAGCCACTCTTCATCAACGGGGCAGACGCGATTCACACTGTAGTGACTGTACGGGGACGCTCTGGAGCAGTCGTCGGCTTTTGGCCGTTACTTTCAGAGAAGGCGGAACACTTGCAGGAGGCATTTCTGTGCAACTTGCCTCAGGCAGCTCTTGCCCAAGTCCAGTGCGTGGCCACAGACGCACCGTCTTCTCACATGTTCTCGCTCCTGCAGTCGATTATGCCCAACCTGCAATGCTTGTGTCTGGACCCAGTTCATCTAGCCATCAAATATGAGTACGCAACAGGGCGCCGAAGAACGAAAGGTTCCGGAAGATTGCGCGCGTGCTTAGGCAAGTTCAACGCAACCGACGCAAGTTTTGCTGCGGGGCATTGGGGCCCTTTTTTTTCTGGCGCGAGCGCGACATCATTGTCCGCGCGAGAAGCATGTTTGCGTGAGCAGATTCGCTCAGGTGGCATGGCCACGAGAAAGGCTTCGTCTATCTTGCAGCAGGTCGAAGAAAAGGTGGTGTGGGCAAACCGAACCGAGTTTGTCGAGTCCCTGGCCGCAATCTCCAAGATGTTCCGCCACGAGGTTGAGCGCAAGGGAGAGAAAAAGGGAATGTTTGTGTATGATCATCTCGCTCATGCGGCCGAAGCGGACAGACTGGAATGGTTGCTGAACAATTTGCGGTTTCGGTCAACACAACCCGGCTCTGTGCTAAGCCTTTTGGCGTCAGGCACAACCTCGAACGAGGCCTTGCACGCAGAGATGCGCTCGTGGTTCCGGCAAATTCAGTCCATGCATCAGTCGTCTCTTCGTTTGAAGTGTTCCGCATTCCGGCTGCGCAAGCTGTTGGAGCACAACACTGCTCTTTATCGACCCACTGCCAGACAGATGACACCTGGTCATGTTTTGGCACGACGACTGGGGCAGAAATTGTGGAGCGCAAGAGCTTGGCAAAGGTTCGTTGAGGGCAGGCCTGAGCAGCTGCCACTCAAGCGGCTTCGGGACCAACATGCACGCAAGCTGGTCTTGCGCCAGGCTGCCGTAATCAGACGGCTCACTGGCAAGCAGCGGCAGCCGCCGCCGCAAGCTGAGCAGGCCATTCGCCGACAAAAGAAGCGCACTGCTTTCACATTGTTGCGTGCAGCTGGAATCATGCGGCAAGGCGTCGCGAAGCGACGTGCGCCAGCACGGGAGCCGTCGTAAGGCAGCGCAAGCAAGTCGTGGCAAAAAATGGCAAACGCGTCTGTGGTTCAACAAGGTCATGGCGTAGACGCCGTGAGGTAGCCCATCCCCAGCAGCGTGCAGTTAAATAAAGATAATATGTACATGTGGCAAGGAATTTCGCCGAGATTTTGACACAGATTCTGCTTCTGAACTACCCCAGAAGAAGTTGCTTTGTCAAATCGCAAGCGCTATCCCAATGCTGCGTCTCTTCTGCTCTGTACAGCCTATAGAGCCTTTGTCCGTCTTTTTCTGTGTAGAGCCAGGCAGGCTCGGGTGCACACATGTCACTTGTGAGTGTCCCATGATGCCGTTACGGGATTAACTCTGGGAGTTCACGTAAACGGCGTTGAACTGAACTGGCAGTCTGCTGTTGCATTCTTGGCGCACGACTGGCGACTGACTGGAGCTGGACAAGGCATGTCGTTCATGGCAGTGCTGGACTCGGAACAGCAACACTGGCAGCGCGCGGAGCTGCGCTGCCTTGACTTGTAGTTTCTCACAAGCTATACTGCACAGTCATGGCGCCTGCAAGTGATTGCTGCTTTTCGTGCTTTCACTGTGGGAGCTGCGCGCCTGGCTTAGGAAGGAGGAGTTTGTTCCACGTATATGAAGGGGTCCGGAGCTCAGACCTGCCCAGGAGGAGTTTGTTCCACCTATATGAAGGGGTCCGGAGCTCAGACCTGCCCAGGAGGAGTTTGTTTATTTTTCTGAAGAGATCCGGCCCAGGAGGAGCTTGTTCCACGTAAATGAAGGGATTCGGAGCTCAGACCTGCCCAGGAGGAGTTTGTTCCACCTCTCTGAAGGGGTAGGAGTTTGTTCCACGTAAATGAAGGGATCCGGAGTTCAGACCTGCCCAGGAGGAGTTTGTTCCACCTATATGAAGGGGTCCGGAGCTCAGACCTGCCCAGGACGAGTTTGTTCCACCTATATATGAAGGGTCCGGAGCTCAGACCTGGTTAAGAGGAGTTTGTTTATTTCTCTGAAGAAGGGATCCGGCCCAGGAGGAGTTTGTTCCACGTAAATGAAGGGATTCGGAGCTCGCCTGCCTAGAAGGAGTTTGTTCCACCTCTCTCAAGGGGTCTGGCCCACAAGGAGTTTGTTCCACGTAAATGAAGGGATCCGGAGCTTAGACCTGCTCAGGAGGAGTTTGTTCCACCTATATGAAGGGGTCCGCAGCTCAGACCTGGCCAGGAGGAGTTTGTTCCACCTATATGAAGGCGTCCGGAGCTCAGACCTGCTCAAAAGGAGTTTGTTCCACCTCTCTGAAGGGGTCCGGCCCAAAGGAGGAGTTTGTTCCATGCAAATGAAGGGAGCCGTTGAGGAGGAGTTTGTTCCACCTATATGAAGGGGTCCGGAGCTCAGACTTGCCCAGGACACCTATATGAAGGGGCCCGGAGCTCAGACCTGCCCAGGAGAAGTTTGTTCCACCTACATGAAGGGTTCAGGAGCTCAGACCTGCCCAGGAAGAGTTTGTTCCACCTATATGAAAGGGTCCGGAGCTCATACCTGCGCTGGGAAGGATCACACCCCTAGTTGGGGAAGCTGGGTCAGCAAATTAGGTTTTCGGTGAGTCGAACACAGGATGATGCAGTGAGTGTGAGATACAACTGGCTTAGGCTCCCTCGTTGAGGAAGCCGAATCAGTGAAGCCAAGCAGTGCTTTTTTGTGGGTATCTCGGGCTATCTGTTGCGCGAGGTTGGCCGTGTGAGAATCACACTTCGTCCTTTCGGGGTGCTGCGCACGATGGCATGTGAGAATCACACGTCGTTCTTTCGGGGCGCTGCGCACGACGGCACTTCTGCAGTGTGGAGCACAGGGTTTTCTCCCAAAAGTGGTTTTCCCTGTGCCCCCATTCACGAAGTCTCAAGGCTTCTAGTGGTTTTGAGCACGGACGTCGACCTTCTAGCAAGGCGTCTTTTAGAGCTGAGCCAAGATTGATGATTTTGAAGCTTCGGCTTCTAAGGGTTCTTAGAGCCTCTAAGCCCAGGAATTGTTGAATATTGATTTATATGGGAACGTTAGCATTTATTGGTCAACTTTGCTTGGCCTGGGCGTTGCCTCAGTTTCTATTCAAATACAAGAAGCAGGATATGATTTCAATATGATTTGGGCTCTGGTTTGCCAAGACTTTCTATTGTTTATGTGGGTATTTGTGACAAAGATGTGATACAAATATGTCGAACATATGAAAAAGATAGCCAATATTATGATTCTATTAACGAAAGATGCACTTTTACAATTCATGCTCATGCCTTGGGCAATACTTGTCGGCAAGATTTTGCAGATTTTTATGTATTTTCATCATTTGTTTTATTTTGATTGTTTCTCATATTTCCTATATTTTTGAGAATAACTACATCTGAATTTCATAATTTTGTCATATGTTTTCATAATCGATTCAGGCCATCTCGACGAGATTATATTCCAATCGTCGGAAAGCTGCGGTCCTGCCTCCGAGGGCACCCCTGCCATCCCCTTGCTTGCCCATGATGCACGGCCCGTCCGGCCTTGTTCTCGCACTTGACCTCCGCTTGGGCTTGTCAAACCCCTGATGGCATGGCGTCCGCTTGGGTCCGTCAAGCTCCTTGTGCATATAGCTTGTAGTAAATGCTGCTAAGGCCTATATCGGCAAGCGTGGTGCTGGAGGTCTCGCGGGACGTGGTGTCGGAGTGGACGCATCCTGCATCGCTGGGTGTCGGGCGCAAAAATGTTTGGCAGGACACCAGGACACCGCGGCTTGGCCGTGCCGCGGTTTGTTGGAGCGTGTTCACAAGTAACTTCGGCCTAGCAGGTGCAATTGACACTGCAAGAGATGTGTACAGTTTCAATGTGACTGCCCACGTCCAAGAAAAGTTCGGACTTGCTCTTGGTTTCATTATGGGGTGCGCAGGGTGCTCTAAACCCTGAACCCTAACCCCTAAGCCCGAAGGCACACACTGGAGCAGTTCATGACACGGCCAGAACCCCTTCAAACCTAGGTATGCGTGCGCTGCATTATACGTATTCTACCGTGCCACGGGGGGGGGGGGGGGGGGGGGGGGATGCTCCAAAGGGCTGGGGTCGTCGGGCGGGTTGATTGGAGGCTTCCGGACCTACTTGGGCGGGGTTCGGATCTACAGTATTTAGTGCAAAACTCTGCAGACAACCCGTATACCAAGGATCAAAACCAAATGGGTGTGGGATGCAAGCCGGCTGCATCCCGCTACAGATCAACATGATTCTTGGCAGTTGATGCCACGGCTTGGCATCATCTTGGTTTAATTAAAGGTTGGGGTTCAACAAGGTTTTTTGCGCGTGGCTTAATGGAGTTGTAAGACTCTTTCTAAGTGCGTGCGCAGAAGCGATGCAAGTTTCCCACAGGCACTGTTTTGTCACACTTTTCCCTGCATGTGTTTCGGGATCTGGAGTAGACGTGCTCCAAATGCTCGACCTGTTGTGGCACGGCTTTGGCTTGGCTTTGAGTCTCCAAGCCAAGTCTGAGGTTCACCATGAACCAAATCGAGAAATCGGATCACTGAACCATTTTCGCATGGGCGGCATCCGTTGAAACGTGAACATGCTAAGCTCTGCCGTTCTTTTAAGGGGTTCGCGAAAACTACGAAAAGAAGTCATGGAATCCCAGGCTTCAACCTCCAAATTCGCTACGTATGGAGTAGTGCACGGCGCAGTCCCTAAAGGCGTTGGGGGCACTTCAGGCTCCAAGGGGCGCGAGGAAACCTTTACCTTTCCCAGTGCATGTAGACAAGTCTGCCACTCTGGCGTTTGAATTCTGTTAAGGCAAGGGTCTGATTGAACCTCTTTGTGGACTCTGTGAAGAAGTGTGCGCAACGAGAAACTGTTGAAGGAAGAGAGGTGGTTTTACGCTGCAAAAGCTGGCGACATCTCTTTCGCCTAATGGCTCCTAAGCTTCTTCTCAAGCCCAACACTTGCTGCTTCCACTGCTGCGAAATTCATGCTTCCGATGATGCTTCCGGACGGAATCAGGTTGTTTTCTACACTACACCACTGCCGACAAACCCAGGAAACCTCCTCTCAACAACTTAAACTGTCTTCACGGCTTCTTATACCCCAAGTAAAACCATCTCCACCGGCATCTGAAAGCACTTGAAGGAGGATCGATCCCCGTAGGAGCTGAAAGCCGTCTGACGATTTTGTTCCGAACCTTCAGAACCCTCCAAAGACGTTCGAGCTTCTTCAGCCTCATGCAGGTCGTTGAACCAGCTTAATAAGTTCTTGAGAATGCTTCCGGACCATTGTGACAAGGCACGAAAAAGGAGCTTGAATATCAAAGCCCTCATAGTGAAACAGATTCAAATCCATCAACTTCTCGAAAGGTTCTACAAGCAACGAAAGTCCCAGACCTTGCCATTTCGGGTGTATGCTTGCTAGTAAAGGCCCACCAGGGATCTTGTTGGATATTTGTGTTTTGCAGCGCATTCAAGCTGCAAGGCACTCTTACCTGCCCCTGTTGCAGGGTTTATGGTTCAATTCAGTCATACGTGGTGCCTCCAGTTGCCAAGGACGAGCGGTACGACTCTCGTAAACCTTGTGAGGCCGATTGAAGGTTGTTATGCCCTATTTACAGCCTTACAGCCGTCTATTGGAAAAGCTTGCGAATCCGTACACTTTTGAAGCCTACGTACTAAACTATGCGAATGGAACCTTCTAAACACATTTGTTCAAGCCGCCTCAAGTTTTTGTTGGAACCTTCGGAACAGCCTCTTAACAGTTCTCACAGAAGCCTTTCGAAAGTTGAACCTTTCTTCCAACACTGAAAATGCAGCACGTCACATCTAAAGACTGCGCCAAAAACTCCTGAGCACCATCGCAATGCCGTCTGGAAGCGTTTGCAGAACTGTCGAAAATGCGCAGTTGTAAACCGCCTATAAAGATTCTAAAGACCATCACACTTCGCCAAAATTCTCGCGTTCCCGAAAGTAGCCTCAATCCTATTTAGCCAGCCCCCTTGAAGCAATCTTCAGGCCTTCATGAACCTGAGCCTCATCAGCTCAACACCATCAGAAGCCCCGATGATCTTCTTAAAACCTTCCAAGTCACCCTTCACCTCGCTGGCAAGCCGTTTGACTAACAGAACCGGAAACGGAACCGGGCCACGTAGCTGGGGGGGAGCATGCCTTAGAACTCATATTCGAAGCGCGGGCCTCAACAGCCCGAATCAAGTGTTCTTGACCTGCGCCTTCGCCCTGTGCCATCTTCTTTTTCTGAAGGTAAGGCTCCGCTGGGCATCGAGGAGAAGTGATGACAACCTTCGCCAACCCCGCGCGCGACATTCACTAGCCATGAAGAACTGCTCAACACCAGGGTCAAGGGGAAAGCTAGGGACTGAGTCAGAAAACAAGGATTGTCTTACCATCGACGAGGATGACGACTATGCGCAGCTCCGAACATGCACCGACGATGACGACGACGATGATTGGGATGACCAGCTCTTGGCCCGAGGGTCACGGTTGGAATGTTTTCTCTGCAATCCGACGCCTCAAACCCTGAACCTTAAGCTTCTTTAGACGGCGCATAAAGCTTAGGTCATCAAGGTTCCGGGACTCCGGTGGGTATGTCCCAAAATAGGGGTACCCCATGTGCACCCCTTACAGACCCCCCAAATACTCTAGTCCTCCTAATTGGAACCCCCTTAAAACCTTAAAAACCACCCCCCCTTTCAGGTTTTGACTCTAAACCCTAAACCCCAAACCCTAATCAAGGTCCCGGGACTCAGGTATGGGATGACGAGGAGACATTCCTGCGCACCACGGATGGCGACAATTGCCTAGGTTGCTGGACCGCGCTGCTGGATTTCTGGGTTTCCTTACTGTTCCAAGGGTTTAGGGTTTAGGGTTTAGGTTTAGGGTTTAGGGTTTAGGGCCAAAACCCTAGCTTAAGCCGCAACGTCCAGACCCTTTGGAGCCCCTAAACACCCCCAAACCCACCAAGTTCTCAACCCTGAAACAGGCAACACCCCAAAAAAACGCCCAAGACATTAAACCACTTAGACAGAAAACCCTAAACCCTAAGCCCTAAACCCCGAACGAGGTAGCAAAAAGGGCAAGGCGATTGCAGCTCTCGCAGACAAGCCGGTGTCTCGGGATGGATGCATGGTACGACTTTCTGGAAAAGAAGCTAAGAGGGTTTAGGGTTTAGTGTTTAGGGACCCTAATCCGTAGACTCATATTCCTGCAGACCCTAAACGCCTAACTTCAAGAACCCTCAACAAGAACCATCTGAAGGAAGCTTTTGCTGGTTTTGGCGGGCGAGGGTTCTGATGGGGTTTGGGATTCATGCTTTAGAAATTAGGGGATCTTTAGGTTTGTGGGGGTGGGGCGGGGGCGGGGGGGAGGATTTGGGGGTTCAGTGAAGTTTAGTGGCGGGCTCCTCAAACCCTACGCCCGCCTAAACCCTACACCCGACTGCAAGGCAAAGTGCGCTGGCGTGCGGCAGATAAAAGTCCCGGGCGAGGCTTCGCTTGGTTAGGGTTTAGGGTTTAGGGTTTAGGGTTTAGGGTTCAGGGTTTAGGGTTTAGGGTTTAGAGTTTAGGGTTTAGGGTTTAGGGTTTAGGGTTTAGGGCTCGGAGCTTGTTTAGGGTTGAGGGTTCCATTTTGGGGGTTATCGACATTTAGGGCTCAGGGCTCTGAATATGGATTCCCTTTCGGGGACCCCCTTCGCCTGGATAGGACCTCCGCTGAATTCGAGGACTTGCGGCTTTTGATGTAAACTTCGTCTTCAGGTGTAAACCCTAAACCCTAAACCCCAAACCCTAAACCCTGGTGAAAACACTAAACGGCGGTTTAGAGGTTTCAGGGGGTTCAGGGTGCGCGGCTCCGAGGCGTGAAGGGACATCCCTAACAAGGCACTCACCCCCCCAATACCAGCTGAAAGCTCCCAAACTGAAAGGACCCAGAAGCCCTCTTGTTAGGGTTTAGGGTTTCGGGTGTAGGGTTTAGGGTTTGGGGTTTAGGGTTTAGGGTTTTAACCCTCAGCGGTCACATATGTGCCTTCCATGTCAAGATTAGCTGCTTGCATGTCTTTTGGCCTGGGGGGGGGGGGGGGGGGATCCGCAGTCCTGGGCAACCTGGATCATCCAGCGTCGGATGTTCGGTTCAGGCCAAGTCTGCCCTAAAACCCTATTACCCTAAAACCCGAAACCCTGCTAGAGGTGGTGTGTCCCGCTGGGTCGCTGCTGAGCTATGTGAACAAAGCCTCCGACACGGGCGTCCTGAAACTTGCCTTTTGTGTTTCTGGCGGCTGTGCTTTGAAGGGGTCCCGGCTCAATTGTAGAATTCCTGGTTCAAGGCTTTAGAAAGGGCTTTGAGTTTTACATCTTTAGGGTTTTAGGCGGAAGGTGGAAGATCTGAGCCCAAAAATCCCCTCTTTTAAGAACTTCCTGCTGACGCCCGAAATCCTGAGCTCGAACCCCTCGGTCCCAAAGCTTTCGAAGGACTTACCGCTGCCTCGAGGGGACTGCAATGGGCTCCTGCGCCTCTGCTGCGTCCCTGAATCGAATCTAAACCCTTGACCCTAAACCTAAACCCGAAGCCCCAAGCCCTCTGAAAGCCCTAACCCTAAATTGCTGTGCGACCTGCTCTGAAAAGATACTTCAGCCTTTAGACTCTACCTCCCGCTAGGCCCATGCTCTAGAAGCCCAAAAAGAGCCCAAAGTTTGCCGGACGGCTAAGGCATTGAGTGGAACACGCCCTCCATGTCGCAAGGAGACCAAGCCCCTTTGCTCTTCTCTTGGGGGGGTTTTGAGAGGGCCTGAGATCTTAGAGGGCTCTGCAAGGTTCAGGGCTTCGCGGCTCAAGGCTTGTTTTGGGATCTTGAGTGTTTAGCCCTTCGCCGCAGAATGCTATGTTAAATTCCATGCGATTATGAAAGCACATAATTCTTTTTTACATGTACCAAAGAAATCGTCAACACAACGAGCCTCATTTTTTATCCCTCTCCCCCTGCTTCCCTGCTCCCTCCATTGCCCCCACTGCAGACAATGAGGCGTTTATGGAGGCGACCATCACTTGCAATCCCGGAATGGCTTTACAGCCACTTGCCAATCGAAATGTGGACATCTCTTTTGAGTTCAAGGCCTTCAGTCAGGCTTTCAGGGATTCAGAGGTTGGGGCTTTGAGGTTTTGAGTTTAGGTGCTGAGCGTGCCCAAAGCTCGGTTTTCGGCGTTGCGTATGATCGTTCGGATGACTGTTGTTTGAACTCTAGATTCCAACTATAGTCTGTCCAGAACTCCACCTCGATGCTTCCATACAGCTCAGTGTTCTTCTCTCTCAAAGAAGGGTGGGTCTCCTTTAGTGAGAAAAAACCTGAAAAAAGGGGCGAAAGACCTCCTCTTCTTTCCCGGGGTGGAAGTAGAACAGCAGCACGTCGCTGCAGCTCTATGCCTCGCTCCGAGGAAAGCGGGCATGCAGCAAGTTCAAAATATGCTTATTCCCTCGCTTTCTTGAGCTTGATCTTTAAACTCAGTGACAGCGTCTGTGCGGCCAAGACACGCGAAAAGCATTCACGCAGCGCAACCCAGCGGAACCCAGCGCAACCCATCGCTACCATTGTACTTCGCCCATTACTGCACCTTGCCTACCCGAACAGCTCGAGTTCGATCCTCAGACCCCTGCTACCTCAAAACCTTGAAACTTGAAGAAAGGGGTCTCTAAACCCCTCAACCCTAAACCCCAAACCCCAAACCCAAACCCTAAGACCCTAACCCAAAGCCCTAAACCAAAACCAAGGGCCGTCTACGTCGAAGAGACCGGTTCGGCAGATTCTGCTTCAAACAGCTTTCGGTACAGGCCAGGGGGTTTAGGGTTTAGGGTTTAGGGCGTAGGGCTTATAGGGCTTAGGGCTTAGGGTTCCTAACTGAGCACCACCTGCAAGCCCAAAAAGTCGTTAAGAGTAGACCCCAAGCTCAAAAAGTTGCCCCTGAAACGCCAACAAGCCCAATGCCCCCGAAAAACAGCAGCTTGGTCTCACCAGCACCCAAGCCCTCCCAACCTCAGTCCTCTGCCCGAAACTCCAAGCCTGAGCCCAAACCCTCAGACCCTTGCTCGAAGCCTAGCTGGGCGCGTGCCTGCCTGTCGCCTGTCATGATGTCTATGATGTTAGAGACATGCTTCAGTTTAGGTGGGGCATAGGGTTTGGGGTTCCGAAGCTTCGGAGGTCAGGTGTCACCGCCCTCAGCCCTCATCGCCAGGCTAACAATCTCCAGCCATCCCTCTGCAAACGGCTGAAAGAGAGACTGAGAGGTGCTGCTACAGCGCCTCATTGGTCATGGCGATCGTTCCCAAAGGCTTCCTGGGCCTCGGGCTGGATCCGTCTCTCAGCTCAGCGGGAGGGTCTTTTTGCTTCGTTTGTCTTTTGATCGTTGATGAACTGAAAGTTTTTTCAGTGCCTTCACTACCACGTATTGTGCCTTTTGGGTGGGCTGTCCGGTTGAAACAGCTTCTGTGACCTTCCAGGCTCTAGTGATGACACAATCTTGCTGTCTGTACACCTTCTGCTTCACCCCATGAGGGTTCTCTCCTGAGACGTGGCTCCAGACTCTTCCAAAACCCTGCGTAAAGACCCCAAGCTTTTTGATTATGATTAGAAGATGGCATCGGACTACGAAAGCGATGCCGCGCCCATGGGAAGAGAAGCCGACCTCCGTTCTGGGTGATCTTGTATCCCCCTGTAAAACTCTTATAGGGTACCTGATTCCCTTATCACGAAGAGCCGGTAAACTTTGTGTGTTGATGGGCGTGAGCCGTTGCTTTTTTAGAATGTAGAGCACTTGATAAGCGTGTTGCCTGGTGCACTTGCGAGGCGTGCAGAAAGCCCTAAAGCGCCATAAGAAACTTAGCCCGAAACCCTCAAGCGGAACAAGCTCAAGCTGGCACCTTCAACCCTCACAAGGTTTGAGGGCGCTTACTGTCCGACCAGCCGGGACATCAGCGGGCGTTTGCTCTACATGCAGAGGCTGGAACAGCAAACCCAACGAATCCTAAACCCTAGACCACCGGGAACTAGTCAAATGCGATGTGGTTCTGGGTTGGGTTTAGGGTTTAAAAGATGGTTGCTGTTGAGCTTCCGCAGCGAATCGGGAGAGGAGTTCGTTTCGGGCAACCGGCAACCCCGCCTCCACACTGGGCTTCGACTACAAGCTCGGCAAGTGGTGCCTGGACAATAAGCGCCTGGACTTGCAGTAAAGATGTTGCCCATGTAGAATATCTCTCTCTCTATATATATATATATGTATATATATATATATATACATGTATGCATTTTTACTTATTTATGCATGTATCAGTTAATGTCTTGTACAGGTTTATATACTTGTATGTTTATCTGTTTGTATGCTCATGGAATGATAACCTTTTTATGTCACCGAAGTCAGTTGAGTATACCAGGCTTTCGGTTCCCAGGGCCCAGGTGGGGTTCGGATTTGGCGGGCGAAGAGCATAGGGCGGTTTGGGGCTCAGGAGGCATCTCCCTAAACCCTGTACCCTAAACCCTAAACCCTAAACCCTAAAGGGCTGTTGAGGGGCCCTTTGAGGTACATGCTGCGGAGCTGCATTGCGAGCCACGTTGCGATGCCTCTCGATGACGATGGGCTCACGAGTCCCGATTGGCAGGCGGGGTTGAGGACGGAGCATCCTCGGGGTTTAGGATTCAGGGTTCAGGGTTCAGGGTTCAAGGTTTAGGGTTTAGGGTTTAGGGTCAGGACATCTTTGGGGCGGTTTGTGTAGCGGCTTGGGGCTTTGAGGGCTTTCAGGGTCTGGAGTTGAAGGCTTTGGGGTTCGAGGTGTTGGGTCGCCAACTTCCCAGCAGGTTCGTCGTGTCCGGGAAGCCTCTTACAGCGAGACTTTCGTTTAGCATTTGGGCCCAGCACCTAGTAGGCAGTAGAGCAGCAACAAACACCTGCATCGTTGGAGATTGGTACATCGAGAGGACACGAAACTAAGCGAAATAGACCACATGCAGCAATTGCTGTATGCAGTTCCATCACGGACCACGAAAGCAAGCACAGGCGGCTGTCCCATCTTGATCGACATTGGGATTCCACCGCGAATTGGAGCAAGACCACAAGCGAAAAAAGAAGTGGTATTCTCATTGTGTTGTTTTCAGATTTTCATATCCGAAATCTTCATAACTAAATCTACACCCAATGAAAGTCGAATTGCTGCGATGTCACTCGGGATCCAAGTATGAATTTGACACGTTCTACACGAACCGATAAGGAAAAAATGTGCTACTCTAACGGTACACTTCCCCCACACCCTTCCCGAAGTGGCGCCTCGGAGGCGGTGCACCAGTCCATGCAGCACATCATTGTTTTGCATGGTTTCTATCAGCGGTAGTCGCTTTCATAGGTATATGTGCAAGTTTATAGGTATGCAGAACCAGTACATTGGATCATGTGGATCATCTTGTATCTAGATCCATGCTGAGTTGTAGCTCCAATTCCCGAGATCTAAGATTCTCTGGAAGCCTTTCCAGTGAATCTAAGACCTATCATTCTCGATCCGACTTACCATATTAAACTTCACAAACTCAACAACTTCAGCAAGCTTCTCGTTGGAGCTCGAAAGAGCAATCAAGAGTCCCTGGAAACTGTTCCGGAGAACTTCGGGCATCCGACGAAAATCTCGAAACGCACAAGACGTTGGGTTCTCTTGCATCTTGTACCATAGTGTAACATAATAGTGTAACTAGGCCTCCGCTTGGACCAGCGTTTATGCAGGCACCCCACATCCCCCAACTTTGTACACTCTTCAAAGCAGGCGGTCGCCTGGAGATGTGTGTTTTCTCGAGTCTCTCAACTTCAGGTGATCATGGTGGCGTGTGAAGGCGTTCAACATAAAGTCAACTTCATTCTCGTTGCGGAGTTTGTGAAATCATGCCGCGCCCATCCGCGTCCAAAACTTTCTTGAGTTCGGGTCCTAGGACTTTAGGCTTGATGTTCAGGGCGTGAAGGCTTCTTGCTTTCCACGGTAGGGTCCGGCTTCCAATGCTTGGCGCATGCTCATATACCTGGCCAAGCCCGGCAATTATTAGACTTCGCCCCCTAAGACCTACGCCGCACATCGACTTCTGAGTGCAGGTCGTCGCCGTGACGGACTTCCATGGTGACTTTAAGGCCCAAGGCGCGGGGGCGCAATTCTGAGTTTGAGTGTGATTGTGGGCGTTGGGCTCAGGGTTTAGGATGGGTGCTCTTCAGAGGTTCCTCCATGTAGTTACCCTTGGAAAATTTGCTTCCTGCAGAGCTTCAGGCGAGATTGGCTTGGTGGCTCGCTTTAGGGTCGCTTTAAGGTTTTCGGGCTTTCCGGGTCTCTTTTCAGGCCCCAGGACTTCGGGTTCTCGTTGTACGGGGAGACACTGGATTCCCTAGAAGATGGTCTCTGCTTGAGGCTTCGGAAGATGAAGTGCATTGTCTCTTGAGGGGTTGCCTTCCAGGCTCCCGGCCCATATGCCCTGAATCCCCCAGTGAGAGCCCCAAAACATTTCAAAGCCCTACCAGGCGAGGGTTTATAGGGGTTCTTGAGGTTCAGGGTAGGAGGGGCACCGCATGCCTTCTTCCCCGTTTCCGTCAAGCCCCCAAGATGCTAAGAGCTCTAAATCCGAAAGCCCTAAAGCCCAAGAATCACTCAGCCTCTTGAACCACGAAATCCAACAGCCCCCCAAATCAAAAAAAAAACCAACCCCTAGGGGTCAGCACGATTTCGCCGACGAAGCTGGGATGCTCTGGAGCTGGTTTGGGCTTTGGGGGCTTTAGGGGCTTTAGGGGCATAGGACTTTGTGTTGCCAGGCGTTTTTGCTTTTGTTTGCAGGGGCTTGGAAATTCCCCAGTCATTTCAGGTAATACAAGCCGGCCGCATTTTGTGCTACTGCTTCTTTTGGCACAAGGGTTCACATGGGTTGGGTCTCCCAGGGCCATTTCTGAGTCGCGCAGAAGAAGTAGGTTTCTGGCCGTACGGTTTACCATGGAGCTTGAGTTTCTGGGCTTCAGTGGGCGAAAATGACGCAACGGCGTTTTTGATCCTTCTGCCGGGCATGTTCTAGTCTTCTCTTAACCCTAAACCCTAAACCCTAAACTCTCGGCTCGACTTGAAGAGGCCTTTGCTCACTGGCAAGGCTCATAAGACACATGGGGATTTCCGAAAATAGGGTAATCCCTATATACCTCAAGATACTATATAATCCCGTTAAAGGAACCCCAAACAGGGTAGCCCTATGTTCGGACACCTCCACATTGTGTTGATTTGAGATTTCTAGCAACTGCCCATCTTCAACTGTCTTCATTCAAGAGGTGCCTATGATTACGATTCCGTGCTCCCATTACGGCATCTTCTTTTGGCCACGGCGTGGTCAGAATTGGCCCTACGCCCCAAACAATCCTGAAAACCCAAACTCCCAGGCATTACTTTAGGGCTTGCAGGTGAGGGGGGAACGCCCGAGATCCACATCAGCGAAGCTCTATGAGTAGGTTTCGGGTTTCAGGCTGAGGGTTCGATGGTCACGAGCCGAACTTGTGGTTGTCACCACGGCAAGCGCAGCCTACTTCTTAACCCTGAACCCAAGAAGCCCTAGTATCCCAACGCCCTAGAACTTGTCGCCAGAAGGACCCTAGACCCCCCCCAAACCGTGAGCCCAACAGCATCAGGAAGAGAGTCCGGAAGAAGCCTACTCTGGTCAGTTTCTTCTCTAAAGCCGGGGATTTCGGGCTTTGCTATTTATGTTGTTTTTCATTTGCGTCTAGGTGCAACTCGATAGGTCTCAAGGTTGGGAGTGCGGGCTCAATGCTTCAAGTATTGGTCGGGTTTAGGGTTGGATTGCTTGTTTTTGTGGGGATGATATTGGCTTCGGTGGTATGTATACATACCCCGCCCACCCTCAGAACCAACCCTCACCTACACAAACCAAAAAGAAGGCAAAACAGCCAAAAAAGCAATCCTTGTTCCTAAGTGCTCCAAGAGTTCTGGAAAAGTCCCAGGCAATTGTTGGTGTTGTTTTATTTTTTTGGTTCTGTCTTTGCTTCTTGAGGTTGATGTTCAGGTTTCTCGGCAAAATACAAACACAGCCCTCGAACGTCCTAGGCAATTTATGCCTGTCTCGTAGCGTGTAAGCCATGCAATGAGTCTTACTATAATATGAAGGCTACGAAGTGGCTAGGAAAGAAGCCGAGAGTGAGAGCCAACGTTTAAACAAAGGCCATCGGAGGTTGCATCTCCTTTCGTGCCTCAAGCTCCCATTTGAACAGTTCTTGGTTTTGCTATCGTGCTCTTGTATGTGGATCGGCAAGCTTCCGGGCCGCACCCGCTAAAATGCGATCTTCACGGATCTCTCCCTTGCCACGGGCACGTTGCGATTAGCCAATGTCTTATTAATATGAAGGCTACGAAGTGGGGACACAGCAGAGTAGCGCTCGAACCTCCATGGCGTCTCTCTCTGTGGTGTGAAGGACGGTCATATACTTGTAGTACATCGGAAGTCTCCTGGATGCTTTATGATTTTCCTAGATTTCCTAGCACTTTGGCCTTAGCTCGGCAGACTAGACGTTTCCCTACAAATTGTGTTTTCTAAGTAGACATCGCATACAAGAGGTGAGCAGCAGTTGCTGAATATGTGTTGGCGATCGCTTTCGTGTGTTCCTTTAGCTGGTATTCATGAAATGAGTCTTTGGTTAGTATGCAACGAATACTTCAGTCACACGCAAAAAGCTTCTGATACTTCATTAGTATCGATTTAGCAGAGTTAGTATTTGTTTTGAAAAAGGCACTAGAGGCCTAGACAAAGCACCGTTTCCCTAGCAACAGCACTGTCAGAAGTAAAAAGTGGTTTATTTCGAGGACCCGCCGCACACAAAGCAGTCGCGCAAGCAATGTCAGCAATCGTCCACATGGGCGGCGCGCGGGAAATGGACACAACGCTTCTTTGTCCGGCGCAAGATGACTTTATCCGTGCGACCGCACGGGCAAGCAAACAGTCTTTGGGGCGAACTCGTTTGTCTGGAAATTCAAGCAATCCAGAAAGTGCTGGGGGAAATGAAGAAATCTTTGCTCGGCAAGCGATATCACGCTTACGCGTGCTGCGCACGTGCCGAAGCTGCATGTGTGTTTACCATTAAGTCGGTTGTCTTGAGAGGACGGGGGGGTAGAAAGACACGTGCTTTCCACATGTTTATGTTTCTTGCGTGAGATGGTGAGGCAATGACAAAAGACAAGCCTTGATGTCCCTGTCTGCAATTTTGCCTGAGCGGAATTGCTTGAAGGACTCCATTTAGAAAGATCAAGTCCAAGCACACAAGTGAGCCGCTCACTCGGAAGGTTCCTGGCTGTAGGGGGCAACCAAAACCTGACCCGCCGGCCCACAAGGCACGTCGTTGCGCGACGCCCCTTGCCCGAGGACAGGCACATGGAAGCAGAAGCGCCCCAACAATTTCGAGCTCATCCATTCTGCTTTGCAGTCAATCGTCATCGTACCCGGTCGTGAGTCACACAAGCCTGGAAGTCTCACAAGCCGCGACAAGCAAGAAGGTTGCCGTTGTCATGTTGTGTTGCACGATCACTATATATAGACCAGGCGTGGGTGCTCGATACATGCTAGCCTTGCCACGACATGTGAAGCAAAAGGACCCATTCTCACCACACAGTGCCTGCGCCATCGACTTCAGCCCATCTCCAGGTCTCTAATCAACTCCAACCATCTTCTAGCTGGCACTTGCAGCTGCGATATGAAGTCCTACGCGACGCCACACCCATTGTGACCCTCAACTGTCCTGAACCACCACCCGGTCTTGTGAGCGCTCCCGCATCAGAGCCTCATGCACGCAGCAACTTGCAACGTGCTCAACTGCCGACTGTGCCGTCACAGGCCTTGCTGCTGAGCTGTAATAAGTTCCTAATCGCCAAAGAAAACACTTGGGGCCAGCGACCTGCGGCTTCAGCGCATGCCTCTCAGACCTCCGCAACTTCTTACAACTGAGCCAGGCTGCTCAGTTCTGTATGCATGCGCGTCGATCACTATCACTAGCCTCTACATTAGTCCAACGCGTGTGAGGTGGGTGCCTGAGTAGCCGTCCTGCATTGCCCGGTGCTCGACTCTGAAATACCCGGCATATGATATGTGATATAAGATATATGTACGCACACAAAGAGTTCCCTTTTGCGGGGGAGGGAGGGAGCTTGGATTCCTGTGCTTCAGGGCTAAGGGAAACTGCAAAACCCAAAACCCCGAACCCTAAACCCTAAGACCTAACCCAAGCCCCGCCCCCAAAACACACACGCACACACACACACACACACACACAGACACACACACACACACACACACAACATACATGAATTGGATTTGCCTTTCCTTTCAGAATGACGAGGCTTTAGCGCTTCGCGGCCCTCGGTTCCGGAGGAGTGCAAAGAGTCCGTCCCAGACTGGGAGGTCAGAGCAGTGAGAAATTCATGGGGCTGCAGTAGTTCTTGGTAGGGAATTAGGGAGTGAAGCACCTTGCATCCTCCTATGTAAGCCTGTGCAGGGTCTTTATGGATCTCTTTATGGGGAACAAGGCACCACATGTCCTAATTCTCTTCCAAGAACTTGGAGGTTGTGGGGTTTTGGGGCTTGGGGCCTTCGGGGTTGGCTGTTATCCTAACTTTAAGTGGTAACAGTTCACACTGCAACTGCAAGGGGCAGAATCGAAAAAATCAAGGTTCAAGGGTTTAAAGGTGTCTTTCGCCTGCACTTTTGGTTCCTAGTTCTCGAGCCATGCCAAAAGCGGAACTTGAACTTCAAGGGCTCAGGCAGTGGCACCCTTTTTTCCTTGCTGGCTTGCATCAGCCTGACAAAAACAAGAAGGCTGCCTAGGTCAATGGGGAACCCAAGCATGTTTGCAACACTAAACCTTGAGAAGCTGCAGAACGTGGATCGGACGTTCCTGAGGACTCTGATGCAGAATGTTCAGTTTTCGCTAACAAACATATTTCTTTTCGATGTATACATAGATAGAAGGTTTCGAGGGCAGCATTGAGGTCTCAAGCGCCCTGAGACCACGATGGTGGTAAAAACGCTTCACAGACTCAGATCAACACTGCAGGTTGCCAAGAGCCTGAGCGACGACAATCCGTGCAAGATGGTTTCTGGTAAGAAGCTTTCTCAGGCAACAGGAGAGCTTTTGCAGTCAAGCTGCTTGTGTTTTGTTTTGTTTGGGAGGGTATTGTTTGGGGTTTCGTGCTTTGGGCCCCAAACCCTAAACCCTAAACCTCAAACTGGAGCAGCAAGGAAGCCTCCCTCCTATTCTGCCTACAACTCGGACAAGGACCAGCAGGGAACATACCCTACCGTATCTTTAAGCCCCTTAAGCCCCAGGATCGAAGCATTGTGAATGTCTTGGTATTATGGGTTGCTGCCAGACCCTCTTAAGAAGTGGGGATCCATACACCTCAGGGGTGGAGCTCTTCAGGCTAGTCTTGGGCAGGGTTTAGGGCTTACGGTGAAGTCCAGAAAGTTGGAACATGGTTTAAGCATGATTTGAGCTGGGATTCCCTCTACAGTAGCCTCTAGTAGGCGTTTTGGGGTATGGGGCTAAAGATGCTCCGACTTTTTTGGAGTTTACGATAAGGCTCAGGGGGCTTTACATTTTAAGGATCTTGGGGTTTGGGGTTCAGGGTTTCGGGTTTAGGGTTTAGGGTTTGGGGTTTGGGGTGTTGGCGCCTTAGCCGGTCTTGGAGCATTGTAGGGTCTGGGGATCAGAGGCTTTTGCTTGCTTGGTTTTGGATGAGGCAGACACCCTAAGCCCAAAACCCCAAATCCTAAACCCTAAACCCTAACCCCGGCGATTGGGAGACTGCGCTTGTTTTCGGAGCTTGCTCTCACCCTAAACCTTGAACCCTTAAACCCTGAACCCTAAACCCTAACCCCTAGTTAGTCTTTGGCAACACGCATGCACGCACGCACGCACGCACGCACCCACACACGCGCACGCACGCACGCACGCACGCACGCACGCACGCACGCACGCACGCACGCACGCACGCGCACGCGCACGCGCACGCGCACGCGCACGCGCACGCGCACGCGCACGCGCGCACGCGCACGCGCACACAACGCACACACCACCCACACACACACACACACACACACACACACACACACAAACACACACACACCACACACACACACACACACACACACACACACACACAACACACACACACACACACACACACACACACACACACACACACACACACACACAACACACGCACACGCACACGCACGCACACGCACACGCACACGCACACGCACACGCACACGCACACGCACACGCACACGCCACACGCGCACACGCACACGCACACGCACACACGCACACACGCACACGCACACGCACGCGCCCGCCCGCCCGCCCACCGCCCGCGCGGCCGGCGCGCCCGCCCTCGCGCCCCCTCGCGCGCCCCCCCGCGCGCCCCCCGCGCCCCCCCGCGCGCCCCCGCCCCCGCCGCCCCCCGCGCGCGCCCCCCCCGCGTGCGCCCCGCGCGCGCCCCCCCCCCGCGGCGCCCCCCGCGCCCGCGCGGCGCGCGCGCCCCCGCGCGTCGCGCGCAGCCGCGCGCCCCGCGCTCGCCCGCGCCCCCCCCGCCCGCCCGCACGCACGCACGCACCCTACTGTGCGACGAACGAAGTTGCAAATGGGACAGGCTACGACACCCCCTCCCAACCCAAGGCATAAGAAAGCCAAAGGGAGGTCAAGAAGCTCTACAGGTTCAGTTTTAGGGTTTTGAAGAGGGCGGTGGGTTGCGGCTTTTTGCATCGGCACCACCCGCTGCAGCATAGCATGCTGAAGCCAAGCCGCCTTGACAGCTCTAGCGCTGGTTGCCATTGAAGCTTCGAAAACGCCTTGAACACCTAGACATGCTGACATCTCATGACGAGGGAACGTTGTGATTCAAAAGGTTCGAAAGCATCTAGGAATGTTGCAGCTTTCGGATCTCCGCATCTAGCATGCTGCAGGTTAATAACACTGAGAAAGGGCTAGGAATGCCACAGCTGCACTACTTTCCCGCAGTCGAAGGAAGCTGCCAAACATCATATTAAATTCAATCAAAAGCACAAAGCAGTAAAACACAAAGTTGAAGATGCACCAGATATGCAAGCAACAAAACGCGTCATCGGCTTGCTTCCGTAGTTTGTCTTCGAATCTCAGCACGAGTTCCATGGTCTGGGGAGCTAGAGTTTCTTACAGGGGCATTGAACCTTGGAAGCTGCGGTTCAGAGCTACCCGATTTTCGAACCCAGGAAGATGCTTTGGTTTAGGGCGAGCCAAATTGGCATACTTTCACTTCCCAGGAAAACAAGGAAAGCACAAGACAACCCGCCTAGGATTCATTTTGGGTTCATTTTTTACCTTGAACTCTTGAGGCGTTGTCCCTCATCTTTCGACCTTGAAGCCCATAAGAGCTCTAAGAAGCAAGGAGAAGTACGGCGCCGCTGCTTGGTGGGAGTCGATGTCGCCATTCTTCACTGGGAAGGGCGGAGCCGGCTATAGCTACTCCAACATCAAGAAATGCTGGTCAAGGGAATCGAAGAGGACCATGGGCCTTCCGATCTAGGAATCTAGGACCCATGAAATGGTTCCCTTACAAAGCCTCTCTTTTTTGTGCAAGAAGGGCACCCCTTCCCAACTTTCGGGTTACTTAGGGGCCGAATGTTGGGAGGCGACCTGTCAGAAAGAAGAGGCTGGCAGCCTGGTAGAGTTCGAGTTCGAGTTGTCGCAGCAGTTGTTTCTGCCTCTTTCTTGGGGGCCTGCTGAAGCCTTTGCTTCGGCCAGGAACTCCGACTTCGAGTACACCGATATGAGCCTTCGGCTGGCACCTTGGGCGAGCTTGTTGAAGAACTCTTCCGGCTACAAGTAAGAGGAGGAGAGTACGGCCAGGCTTACGGACCACTAAAGCCCCAAAGAACCTCAAACTCCTGTGGGTCCGAAGCCCGGCAAACCCGGACCCTGCAATTCCAAAACCATGGAAAAATCCTCTAACCCTGAAATCCCTGCAACAGCAAGCGGCCCCGAGAAACGGATCTTCAACGTAAGGAGCATACTACGATGAGGCATTGCGAAGGGAACCCTTAATGCCGAGGAGCTCGATGCCTCGCAACACCATAGCTCTGAAGCCTACAGGCTAAAGCCCCTTAACCTTAAACGCGGTAGCCATCTGCCTCGACAGCCTAAGAAATGGCGGTTCGGAATAAGCCTCCCTGAGCTCCATTATCTTGAAGCCCTGTAACCCAATCCACTTCACAACGTGTATTGCCTGAACATCGCAAACCACCCCCCCCCCCTACACCCTACATACTTCATCCACTCCAAGGCCGCCGAAACTTATGGAGTTGCGGCGAGCTGGCGAATGGCCAGCTTCGAAGCAAGGGTTAAGGGTTTGAGAACCTATGTCTGGAGTTCAGAGTTTCAGGCTTCAGGCTTCGGTTCAGAATTCTGGCTTGCTGTGTTCGTGCTTACGATAGCGACTGAAGGATCAGAGGCGAATGGTAAAAGCCAGTTGCCAGTCGGTTTGGGGGGCTTGCCTTACACCTCCGTCTCGATCAGCTTCCCAGGAAACCTTCGGCTTGGGGCTTTGGAGCGTTCAGGGTCGGCTTCAGCCCTGTTCATTCACCTGTGAGTTTGATCATCGCCTGTCCTGTAGGAGGAACAGAGGAGGTGCTGACGGTACCCTCCATTTGGACTTGCAAGTTACAGGACTTCTATCATAAGCCCCCAAAAACCTAGAAACCCCAAACTACTACCAACAGCCCTTAAAAGGGATTAGAGCACCCCAATTTTCATCCTAATTAAGGACTGTTAGCCAAGAAAGCCTGGGTGTTGAAGCGAGGCCGTCTGCGCAGCAGCCCTTCCCGACGCGAACGCGGCACCCTTGGGCATGGGAGTTTCAGAGCCCCTGCCGCACTTACCTCTACCATCCTCATTCCGACGCCCCCTGAAGCCCAAAGCCGAAACCCCGCGACCTAAACTCAACTCAAAGGCAGACTTCGAACTCAGTGTTACCCAAACCCAGATTTGACGTCTGATCGCACGCAAGAACACCTAAACCCCAAACCCCTTGGTGTGAGGGTTTGGGAGATCCAGGCATGTCGAGGCTTCGCAAGAGTTCCGTATGGTCTAGGGCTTACATGGTGACTTCTCAAAGAAGCCTTGTTCCGAATTTTTGAGCCATGTGTGGTTCTGAGGCAGGACAGCCTTCGGCCCTAGTGATTGTTGGACCTCTCCTGGCTCAGGGGGGCTGTTTACAAGTGGGACCCGCCAAAACAAGAACTCGTCATTGCAAGCGTTGCACAATGTCCAACTGTCTGTATTGATCTCAGACTTAACAACAGCACGGCAGAGGCTGCGCGGGGGTATGTGCAGTCGGGCCCTTTAATTGCAATGGCGGGGCTTTGGGGCTTAAAGCTGCCTGCATAGCTCACCCTTGCTGAGGCACGTGGAGCGCCATCAGACTGTTCCAAACTTTTTCTTCGAATTTCAATCCCAACCAGTAGGGTCTCGTTGCTGCCAGCGCCCAAGGGAACGCCTGGGAGAGCTTGCAAGGAAATGTGGGCGGCAATCGACAAGGCCAAGCGTGATTACGGTGTACTTTCGACATGCCCTTAGTCTGAGGGGTCGCACGGACTTTGAGAAATTTGACCATAAGGTGAGGTTGTGCAAATGTGGTTTACGAGAATTAGGCATTCCCACATCTTGAAGCGATCAGGCCGCTGGTCTGTTCGGGGCTTCTGCGTTCCTTAAGCCGCTGCCAGCCACAACAGAATGCGCAGAAGAGGAAGAAGAAGAAGAAGAAGAACAACAACAACAACAAGAACAAGGAGATGAAGCAGACGCAGCAGCACAGCAGAACCAAAAGCGGCACGACTAGCAACCACGCTCGAAAAAAGAACAAGCAGTTGGAAGAAGGTGCAAAATACTCGAAGCCCCGAAGCTCTGTTCAATTGCTTGCCCAAATAAACATCCACATGTAGATTGCGCATACTTGCACCACCCTAGTCTTGAACCCAATTCTTTCAAGGTGTGGGGAGTTGCTTTTCCGAGCTCTTCTATGAGTTTGAAAATAATTAGGGTTTAGGGTTAGGGTTTAGGGTTTAGGGTTTCGGGTTTAGAATCCTCAAAGCACCAAGCCCCATCGCCTGGCGCAGACCCTAATGTACACGGTCGACGTCGTACGATCCAGCCATCAAATCTACAAGAACGAGCTCAACGGGGCCGACTGCAGCGGGGCCACCTGGAGAATGAGCTAAGAATTGGCTAATCTCCTGGTGCAAGAAGGTTCAAATGTTCTTTCGAGATGTGTGCAACCCCTACAAGCCCTTCGAATGTGAGCTACAAACATCACAAACAACAGGGTTCCGGAAAGCCCAAATGCCTTGCAAAAGCTGTGACCGGATTTGACTTCCATCCGACGCGGCTTGGGGTTTAGGGTTTGTGTAGGGTTTTGGGGTTTAGGGTGTCTCAGAGTGCCACAGCGCACCCATGAAGTGGTCGTGGGTCAGTCAAACCTTTTTCTGGTTTTCGACTTGTCTACCCCCCAACCCCCTATCAAGGGGGGCTTCGAGGAAGAACCGCCGAACAGCCTCTTCGGATGGTGGGGGCCTGGGGCAACAACCCTGGCGGGGGCAACCCTGGCGGCGGCAACCTTGGCGAGGGCAAGTCTGGCGAGGGTAAGCCTGGCGGGGGCAACCCTAACGAAGCGCAACCTCCCTGGCGGGCGTGCCGGTGGCGCGGGCAAACGTGGCGGGGGCAACCCTGGCAAGGGCAACCCTGGCGGGGGCAACCCTGGTGGGGGCAACCCTGGCGGGGGCAACCCCGGCGCGGGCAACCAACCCTCGGCGGGGGCAAATCTTGGCGGGGGCGGGGGCGCTCCCGCCAAGGCGTGGACACGAATTTCGGAACGGGCTGTGGGTCCGTGAACCGTCCAACCGTGGCGGGGCCTGGGCAACCCTGACAAGGCAAACGGAGGAACCCCAGGATTGGCCAGGACCCGCAATGAAAGTGCGTGTTTTTGAGTACTGAGCTGGGTGGTTTTGGGAGGCATTGCGGATCTGCAGGATGCAGCTCTCGAGGTAGCGTGAGGTGGTACTGGCCTCTCCCAAGAAGGTCTTACTGGTATAGGGTTTAGGGTTTCAAGGGTTTAGGGTTTAGGGTTTGAAGCCTGAATGAACTAAGGACTCCGCAGCCATGGCAAGGATTTGGTGCGATCTCCACTGCATCAAGTCGGCGGTCCAGGACCTTCCGGGTCTTGGCTCCGGGGTTCAATGGGCTCAAGAGGTGGGTTTAGGGTTTAGGGTTTAGGGTTTAGGGTTTGGGTTTAGGGTTTAGGGTTCCACAGAGCGCTTGCAGCCTGTGGCAGAAGCAGGCAGCCAGCCCCGGCCCACAAGCAACCGTGATCGATGAAAGCACCATTGGTAGCTCGGTGGGGGCAGCTCTTTCAAAGCATGCCCTAAGCCCTAAACCCTCAACCCTAAACCCATGACTGGTATAACCATGATGAATCCTGTGCCCCTTGCGAAAGTTGTGGCGGCTCAGGGCTCCTGAGGCGATTGTTCTAGCCGAAAAGGTAGCCTGCCTGGCCCGAAGCCTTACACTTTGAACACTCGTACCGTCAGCCATCGCAAAACACCGGATTACAACTGCAAAAGCGTGACCTTCCGTTTGCCACCTGCCCATAGTGCATCCCCCCTAAACCCCCTAAACCCCCTAAACCCCCTGAACCCCCTGAACCCCCTAAACCCCCTAAACCCTAGAACCAACCCCTCTATGTCCAGGAAGGAGACGAGGCTATTCTCCAGTCCTTGGAGAAGGCGGTGAAGGTGCTGGACCAGAACGTGGACCTCTTGACGGAGCCCACCGGATGTTTATGGCTTTGGGTTGAGGGGTTTAAGGTTGCGTGTTGAAGGTTCAGGGCTTAAGGGCTTGCCTTTCTGATGGGTTCAGGGTTTAGGGAGCCGGCAGCACCCTAAACTCTGAAACCTTCACCCCACACCTGAACCCCTCACGCCCCCAGCCGTTCCCTGAACACGTGTTTGTCGACCCTTTCGACCCTGGACCCTAGACCTGAACGACAGGCTTCCTGGTGTTTCCCCTGCTTGTCCAAGGTACTACACAGGCCTTGTGGGCGACAAGGCTGCGGCATTGGGGTCTTCGGATCCATTCTGGCCCTGAGAGGATGACGGAAGTTTGAGAAGCGATGGGTTAGGTGCTGGGTTTCGGCTCGGGGTAAAGGGGGTTGGGTTGCAAGTTGGGGTTACATGCCTTTGGACGTAAGGAGACATACACATGGCTCAACCTCCATGTCCTAACACAAACGCAAAGCTCCGTTCCCGTTCAGGTGGATGAGGTGATGGAAGTGGTGAAGAGGCACAGAATTGCTCCCCTGACTCTAATCCACAAACCCGCACGCGCAAAACCCTGACTTCTACAAACCCTGACCTGTAGAGCCCCGCCCTCAACCCTTTGCCTTATGGCTCGCTGTGAGCAGTGTTTGATTGGTCTTGAGTCTTGAGGTTTGGCCCAGCGACCTGCCAGGCATA